TCACTCATGCTCTTGGGATCGCTGGCCAGGTGAGCTACCGGCATCCAAGTCTGTTTCTCAGAGTCCGCTTTCGGGGTTTTCGGGGGAACCCAATCTGAAGATGTTCAATTTACTGTATTATACAAATGTATTCTTTATGTTCACTCACTTATTGAGAAACTACAATCTCTTAGACATTATGAAACTGAACTGGTAACTTGTATTATGAGTTATTTCTATGTGTTTATCATACATATACTTTTGTACGTATATATATTCTACCTATCTACCCCTATAAAATCCACACTTGATCTTATGTTCAATGACAGTAGGAACTGTGACTTGCATTTATGTATGGCTCCAGAATCTGATATAGTCCAGTGCAAACAGTAGGTGCTCAGCGAGTGTTTCTTGATTGATTATTCTTCCTTTCAGCGTTCACATACAGGGTACATTATTATACACAAAATCAACATACAACATTTATATTAGATAATTTATAAATTATTAAATTTAACAAATATTTGCATACCTCCTACATGCAAAAGCATGGTGGAGGCGCGAAAGTCATAATGAAGGAACTTAATATGATGTATTATAGGCTCTATAGAGCATATAATTAGTGAAAAAACTGAATTTACCAAAAAAATGAATTTACAGAAACTAATATTTACTATGCAGAGAAGGGAAGGATTAGGTAGACATGATTGGAAATGGTTTCCAGTAGTTGAGATGGGCCTTGAGAAGTTGGTAGGGTTGAAATAGAGAAGGGGGAGGGTATTCCAGTGTTGGAGTGCAGGGTGAGAAATCGATTGTAGTAAAGCTAAAGAACCATGGGGAATGAAGCTAAAGGTACCCTAATGAATGTGGGATATGTGAGTGTGGAAGAGATGACCTGACTGGAGGTTAGTTTCCTGTTGAGTAGCAATAGAAAACAAGCAGTAGAAGAATAGTAACGGGAAAAGAAGAAATGGGTGAAGGTGATCAAAAGGTGCAAACTTCCAGTTATAAAATAAGTCCTGGGGATGTAATGTACAACATGGTGACTAAGGTTAACAATGCTGTGTTGTATATTTGAAAGTTGCTAAGAGAGTAGATCTTACAAGTTCTCATCACAAGAAAAAAATATATAACTGTGGTGGATGTTAATGAGACTTACTGTGGTGATCATTTTACAATATACACACATATCACATCACTATGTGGTACACTTGAAACTAATACAATGTTATATGTCAATTGTAGCTCAATTTTTAAAAAAGAAACAATAAAAAAGTGAAGTTATTGAAAGTTGGAAGGCAGTAGAGGTTTCTAGATAATGTGTATATAGATGGAAGTCAAGTTGAAGGGTCTTCAGTGGATCCTTTGATGAAGAATTAAGCTGTTAATCAGGGTCATGCTCTCCAGAAAGTGGAAGGATTGGCTGGGAGAGTATTTGCAAGCTATAACTCTGCCACCTTCCACTTTGCGTTTAGCAGCTAGCCAAACTCTGTGGTATGGCTGACACCCCCATGTAATACCTCCAGACCATGTAGAGCCAGAGGCAAGTGGGTCAGACTTTCTTAACTCAGTAAAGGCCTTAGCAGGTATATTAGTTTTCTAGAGTGACTGTAACCAAAAAGAAAAGAAAAGGAAAAACGAATTAAAAAAAAAAAAAAGCAGCAATGGAGGGCCTTTAAAACCCAAGGAATTTAGACTTTGTCACTGAAACAAGAGGGAGTTTTGAAGGATTTGTGAATATTAACTATAAATAAAGTAACGGTAGGACTGCGGAAGATTTGTTTGGCGTGTCACACAGGAAGCCAGGCGGAGCAAGGAGGTGGCGGAGGCCCCCAGCACACTACTCTCTGGACTCTTCAGGCCTCTTCCGCCTTCTAGTTCAGTAAACATTTTCCTCTGTCATCTACACTGCATTTAAAATCATTATTTTTGAATTCTTGTCATGCTTTCTTCTTTAGATCATAGTGTTTTATTCATTAAAAAGATTACAGTTTAGGAATGCCTGGGTGACTCAGTCAGGTAAGCATCTGCTTTCGGCTCAGGCCATGATCCCAGGGTCCTGGGATCGAGCCCCACATCAGAGCCCCACATCAGGCTCCCTGCTCGTCAAGGAGTCTGCTTCTTCCTCTTCCTCTGCCCCTCCCCCCAGCTTGTTTTCTCTGTCTCTCTCTGTCTCACATGAATAAAATCTTAAAAAGAAAAAAAGATTACCAGTTTAAAAAACAAAGTCTAGGGACACCTGGGTGGCTCAGTTGGTTGAGCATCTGCCTTTGGCTCAGGTCATGATCCCAGAGTCCTGGGATCGAGCCCCACATTAGGCTCCTTGCTCAGTGGAGCTTGCTTCTCCCCCTGCCTGCCGCTCCCCCTGCTTGTGCTCTGTCCCTCTCTAACAGATAAATGAATTTTTTAAAACAAACAAACAGAAAGTCTAAGCAATTAGAAGACTGCGTTCTGTGCCTCCTGGACAATTGGGAAAGAGGGTGGCTAGACTTCAGTCTGGTTTGTCTCATTGAAAAAAAAATTTTTTTTTTTTTTGAGAGGGGGAGAGAGCAAGAGAGAGCCAAACCTGAGCGGCTGGGGTGGGGGTTGGGGGGGCAGAGGGAGAGAGAATCCCAAGCAGACTCCAAGCCCAGCCCAACACAGGGCTCAGATCACAGAACCCTGAGATCAGGACCTGAGCCAAAATCAAGAGTCAGACGCTTAACCTACTAAGCCACCCAGGCGCCCCGTCTCACTGAATTTTAAGATAACTTTTTCTTTTATAATTTTAAGCTTTTGTACTAAACATCAACATGATGGCTAGGGGCACCTGGTTGGCTCAGTCAATAGAGCATGCAACTCTTGACCTCGGGGTCATGAGTTGGAGCCCCTTGTTGGGCGTAGAGATTACTTAAAAAAAAAAATAATAAAGTAAAATGATGTCTATACAGATGAGTTTATACATCCCAGTTTTGATTTAGATTGAGTGTTATTATGAGTATTTCCATCAGAAAGTCATTGTCATTCTGAATTATTTTACTTGCCATATTGCTAAATTTTAAGATGATTCTGTTACTATAGAAAAATGCTTTCCCCCCATTTTTCTCAGATGTAAAATGGAAATCAATGGAGAAATCTTTGACTACAATTCATTTTTAAGGAATGCCTTTATGTGAATATGGTGACATACACATGTACTTGGGAATACTGTAAATCTAGCTTTCTACCAGGAATATATTAGTATTTTTAACAGACCCTTTTACCAACTAGATATAACTTGGTCATATGCAAATTAGAGATATTTTGGAAGTTATTTTCATCTACTGATTTGCTCTTTCTTTTAATTATTATTTAGTAAACTATATTTGATTTGAAAAAAAAACAAAGGCATTACTTTTTCTTTATGCTTGTGCTTTGGTTTGTCCTTTTCCTCAACAAGCATTTACTGAGCACATCTGTGGGGCCGCGCTATTAAGGGGCGCAAACAAGACTCCTTCTAAGGTCTCTTCAGGGGCCTGCTCTCAGGTAGGGGCCAGACTGGTGAGAAGTGATGACCCACAGGGCCCCAAACAGGGCGTGGGTAGGAAAGACAAAGAACAGGATAGGGCAGGGAAAGAAAAGGAAAGGATCGGGGCAGGAGAATGTGAAGCTTGAATTGAGTTTGAAAAGATGAGAAAGCTTGCAGCTGAGAGGGTCGGAAAGAACTGGACTTCCTGACAGAGGCAGTGAGGTCTGATGCTGTGGCCTCCCAGCAGCCCTTTTGCCCAGGCTGGCCTCCAACGGTGGGTGAAAATGGGAAGGAAGGTTTTTAGAGCCAAAGGAGATCTGTTTTTCTTTAATAACTCAGAGCCTGACAGTGATGGTGATGGCTATAAACGTACTTTGTGAGGTAGGTTATGATGTGCATTGTGATATGTCAGCCCTTGATAGCAGCTTACACAGTTCCTGTATTCTTTTCTCTTCTGGGAGCTTCAGATGATTTCATCTTCCTTTTGCCCACTCTCACCTCGTTATGCCTCTCATTTCATCAACTCTGTCTCTTAAGAGAATTCTCTTTCCCTCCATATCCAACTTCAGGTAAAACTACTTGAGAGCAAGCCCTAGCACTGAGTGTTGATAGCAATTCGCATCTAAAAATTTGGACCAGGTTCATAATTTATAGATTCAGTAGATCTTCCTAGATCAGATCCACCTTAAATATCTGTTCCTTTCAGTTCTTCCATTTGTAATAAATATTGCTTGTCCATTACATTCCAGGTACTTTGTTATAGTCTATGTACCCTGTGGTGATGGTAATGAATGAAATGGACAAAGATTCCAACCTGATGGAACTTACATTTTGGTAATCATCACAGTGGCTCTGACAGATTGATTGCTCTCCCATATAGACAAACGGTTCGTTAAAATTAGGCTGCTACCTAAGTAGGGTTTTCTTTCATGGGCTTTGCCTAGACACTGGGACAAGAAGACATTTTTTTATTATAGGGGGAAAAGACTTTTTTTGTAGCTGGGGGTTCTATAGGGATAGACCAGTATGATGTGGCATATTTTCTCTAGTTTATCTTGTAAAAGATGAATGTTTGAAGGTACTAAAAATATAGTGGTTTCAGAGACAGATTAAGTGGGTGAAGAGAGAAATATTTAAAGACAAGTTATTTGAAGCTTTCCTTGCCTTGTGCTTCAGTGAGGAGAGAGAGAGAAATAGCCACCAAATGACTAATGCATCAGTAATAGCTGGGGTATACTTTATATAGGCAGAAGAGAAACATAGTAAGAAAGTAGAAAGAACTAAATAGAGAATCCTGTTATGGCATTAAAAAATCTGATTTATTAAAATTGCAACAGATTTGGAGGCGCCTGACTGGCTCAGTCAGTGGAGCATGTAGCTCTTGATCTCAGGGTCATGAATTCGAGCCCCACGTGTGGTGGTAGAGTTGACTTTAAAAAAATAAAAATAAAAAATAAATAAAATTGCAACGGACTTGGAATAGAATACTTTCAGCTGTATTTTTTGGTCATAGTTTTTATTTGTTATTTTACAGATGCTGTGCCTGCTCCCTCAGAAAAGAGCCCATCTCTGCAGACAAATGTGAGTTTGGACAAGACATCAGACCACACCATTACAAATACTGTAACCGAACGCTCTTTGCAAATGCCTCTAGAAATGCAGTCAGCTGCAAGAAGTTTTGAAACGTTGACAGCTTTACCGCCATTTTGGTCACCGGATAAAGAAGAGTTTATCAGCCCTAATTTAAGGATGTCAAAGTCTGATTCTACTTTCTATAATCAGGTCTCTGTAGAGACACTCTATGTCTCTCCCTCATTTAAAACATTTAACCCAGTGAAGGAGATTGTAAGCAACAAGGACTTTCAGAAGCCAACACAATCCAGCATTGCTCAGATGGATGAGGAAAACCTCAAGCCTGTGACCACATGGGGTGAGTCTACACACACACACACACACACACACACACACACACACACCCTTCTTTTGAAGCATTCTTCTGTTACTTTTCTGTGCTTTCTGCCTCTGTTTTGGTTCCCTACTTTCACTCTCCATCCAATATTATTAAAATGTCCACACAAAGCACCACTTTTATTAAAGACCTGAGAGGCAGTTCTCCATTGCGGGCTCCAAGTGCTTGGTTGAAGCACAAGTTCTGAGCAATTCTAATGCCGAACAAATTAGAAAGAATTAGCATTAAATAAGAGCTTCCTGTTAGGCATTTAGGTTACTTATTAAGAGACTGTATAAAAAGAATTAGTTATTATGTATATTGCTGTGTATACACACAAGATGTGTGTGTGCACGCGCGCGCACGTGCACGCGCGTGCGCACATGCAGCCTTTTTTTAAAGGGCTGTGTACTGATTGCAAAACAACGGTGGAGAATCTCTTCCATTTTCTGTCCTATAAAACATTCAAAGGGTCGCAGTATTCTTGAGCCTGGATGGTAAAGGGAATCCAGGTTGTTGGCTGTCAGTTACCAAATCCTACGTTGTATAATTATGCTTTCTTCTTTAAAGTCAATCAGTAAAAGAAGAATTTGTTTGTTCATGCATTTTTCAAAGACTAAGTAGTTTTATTGTTATGTATAATAATGCTGACGAACTCATATAAATATAAAGCTTTTAATAAAAATATTTTAAACTGCCTCAAACTCAGGTCAAAAGTGCCATATATGTACAAACAATGGAAGCCAACATGTTGAGGCTAAAGAAACTCACCTCAACTCTGAAAAACAAACAGAGGGTTCTAGAGGGAGGGGGGTGGGAGGATGGGTTAGCCCGGTGATGGGTATTAAGGAGGGCACGTTCTGCGTGGAGCACTGGGTGTTATGCGCAAACAATGAATCATGGATCACTACATCAAAAACTAATGATGTAATGTATGGTGACTAACATAACAATAAAAAATTAAAAAAGAAAAAAAGAAACTCACCTCAGTGTTAGTGAGGTCAGTGAATGATAACAGATTCTCCTTGCTGCCCTTCCCAGAACTTGGGGGGGACCGAATAGCCTAAAAATAAACAGAGTCTTAGTTTTGTCACCAAATTAACTCTTCTGCAGAGACTGCCAATGTGGAAGCCACTGAGTACTGGTCACGGTGAGTGTGGTGGTTTCAGTGCGTGGCTGTTCCCCTGGGAAGTTGTTACTTTGACTTCATTTCTTTCACAAATACCCCCCAAAAGATCATTGAAAATAGTTTTTGGCCGCTGCCTGTGTACTAAGTACACTTAGTTATAAAAATTAGCTAGAAGCTCCTCTAAAGCCAGTTAGCAAGAAAGACCTGCTTCTATTTATAATGAAGTAGATAGTATTGTTCTAACCCTCCCACCAAAAATACTGGTTAAAGCTGGAAAACTATTAAAAACTGGTTTGAAGTCCTGTAAAACAGCCAAGATAGAAAACACGGAATGGGTCAAGATCCTTCGGAAAAGGACTGTGATGTTGTGATATAATGAGAAATACATATTTGGTCTTCCTCCCTAGCTCTTGGCACAGAGCTCCTAAAACCCTTGGAATTTCCTGAGTGATAGGGGTGAGAAGAGTTATATTTTTGTTATTTGTAATAAGACCCTTCTTCCATATCTGAGTTTATGCTGAGGTAACCCTTGGAGGTTGGGGGCTGCTTGCCAGAGTAACCAATCAGGTGGTTAGAGGTTTGGAACTTTCAGCCCCACGCCTTGACCTCTAGGTATGTTGAATTAATCACCCATGGCCAGTGATTTGATCAATCATGTCTCTGTAATGGAACCTCCATAAAAAGCCCTAGACAGTGGGGTTTAGACAGCTTCCAGGTTTGGTGCACACATGAAGTTTCTGGGAGGGTGGCATACCCAGAGAAGGCTTGGAAGCTCTGGGCCCCTTCCCCATACCTTGCCCTGTGCATCCTTTCCATTTGGCTGTTCTGAGTTGTATTCTTTATAATAAACCAGTAATAGTAAGTAAAGCACTTTCCTAAATTCCATGAGCCATTGTAGTGAATTATCAGACCCAAGGAAGGGATCATGGGATCCCTCAATTTATAGCCGGCAGGTCAGAAATACGGGAGGCCTAGACTTTTGATTGGCATCTAAAGTGGAGGGCAGTCCTGAGACTTGAGTCTTGAGATTAAGGGATTGAGCTTTTAATCTCTGGGGTCTGCACTAACTCTGGGTAGTGTCAGAATGGAGTTAAATTATAGGACATCTAGTTGGTGTCACATACAGAGAATGAGAGAAATCCTTGTGTGTAAAACCCATACATTTGGTGTCAGAAGTGATGTGACTAAAGTAGGAAATTAGTTTACTTTTAGTTGGTCCCACATTCACCTCAGTTTTCCCACTGTGGATCGTTTGCCTGTTAGCAGAGCAGGATATAGAAACCGAGGGAAAGTCAGAGGCCTGGACTCTCCACGGTCTCACTGAGCTTGGGAGTTAGGTTTGAAGTTTGGGGCTTCCCAGGTGGCAGGGACTCCAGGAGTCAATATTCCAGAGGAGAGGAAGTCACGGAGGAGAAAGCCGAAAAGTCTTTGTGTAATTTCCTACCGAAGCATCTGCCCCCCTGCTAAAGCAGCACACGTTCTGGATGTGGTGCCAAGAAACTACATGGGAAGCAGCTTCGAAGGGGCCAACACGCTAAGCAGAGATTTGGATCATCTCATAGGGCTGGGAGACAGAGGTCAGAGTTCAGGATCTGCCATGTTGTAGCGGCTCTGGTAAGGACTCCATGCTCTCAGCTGGGGCCGCCGACAGGCCCCACCCGAAGCACCAGAACTACCGTCTAGGGGGAAGGGCAAACCAGAACGAGACTAGCCCTCACAAAGGCGGCAACCCAGCTCCAGCTAGAGCAATGTCATTGCTTTGTATCCCATCTGTCTTCTAGAAGACAGCGAAATCCTTTCTTAAGAGCTCCTGTCACTTCGTGGAAAATTTTTGGCATTTAAAATCCAGGAGAAAAACAGACAGCAGAAACAGACCCACAGATAAGCTAGATACTGACGCTATAAGATAGGTACTTTAAAATAACTGTGATTAATATGATCAGGAGCACAGAGGGAAAGATGGAGAATTTCATCAGAATACTATCATCTGTAAAGAAAGAATGAAATGAGAGTTCCAGAGATGAAAAATACAGTAGCCCACGTTAAGACCGGGAGGGCACACTTCAGTCATATGAGGTATCAAAAGAGAGCTTCACGGGGCGCCTGGGTGGCTCAGTTGGTTAAGCGACTGCCTTCGGCTCAGGTCATGATCCTGGAGTTCCGGGATCGAGTCCCACGTCGGGCTCCCTGCTCAGCGGGGAGTCTGCTTCTAACCTCTGACCCTCTTCCCTCTCATGCTTTCTGTCTCTCATTCTCTCGTTCTCAAATAAATAAATAAAATCTTTAAAAAAAAAAAAAAGAGCTTCAGTACTGGCAAAAGAGCTGGACAGTTCTGCAGGAAATCCCAAAAGGGAGGGAAACTCGGAAAGGGTGAGCCCCAGCCCACATTCTGTCTATAAACTCTGCCTGAATCCTTGACTGACAAACTATTCATGGAGGGGAAGACCCCAGTGCATTTGGTGGGGGGGGGGGGGGGCGGAACTGAGCACTGGAAATGATAAATATGTGGGTAAATATAAACTTGATTTTTATTCTAATTTTTTAAATGCATATGACTGTTTAAGGCAAAATCTTCATACTGTATTTTGGGTTTTAAAACATGGAGATGTAGTGTATATTCCAACAGAGCACAGAGAGTGATGAATTGCAGAATTGTTAGCGGCTTAGGCTCTGGGGTCACACAGCCGGGGTTCATCATCTCAGCCCCGCCACTGGTTTGTGACCCATATGCATCAGCGTCTTCATCTACAGGATGGGAACAGGCTGGCACTGGCACATGCAGCTGGTGGATGGGTTCCGTGAATCCACAAACACGAACCGGATCCGAGTAGGATCTGGTACTAGGCAGGTGCCATAGAAAAGTTTGCTATTACTCCAGTGTCCATATTTTTAGCTCCACTTTTCGAGCTCTAGGCCCCCAGCCCCCTCCTAACCCTCCAGATCCATTCTGGTTATTTCCCAAAAGTACCCAGGAGTTCCTTGCTTTTATTCTCAGGAACGAGGAGACTCCTATGCTTCCAGAAAGGGCATTCCAGGCTGAGGAAAAATGCACAGTTATGACTGACCAGAGAGATTCTAGGAGCTCCGATTCATTCTCCACAGAACAGCCAGAGGACGTGAGGACTAAATTCCCCCACTGAGACCCCAGACTTCTCACTGTGTTCCTAGAGATCAAATAGCCTTCCACACCCTGCTCGGCCTAGCTTCTGCCTCTCCCAGCAACCTGTGTTCTTTCTGTTTTGTCAAGTAAACCAAATTGCTTCGCCACCTTTGTACTGTTGTTCCCTCAGACCAGAATACTTCTGATCCACCCCTTCCTCATCCCTCCTACTCATCCCTCCGGGGTCAGCTCAGAGAGCCCTTCTGCAAGATTTCCTGACCCCCCTCTATTATTTCAAATCCCCCTGCCACTATATGTTGTCTTAGTACCTATAAGTATCCTTCTAGCACATATGGTCTAATTTTAATTCTATTATATAATTCAATATAATTATATTCAATATAATTATGTATGTATTGAATTGTTTAATGTACCCCCACCCCCCAAGTGGAATGCCCCTTCCTGAGGGAAGGGACCGTGTCTGCCTGTTTACTATTGTATCCCCAGCACCAGGCACAGTGTCTTGGACATAATAGGTACCCAATATTTAATAAGTGAATTAAAAGCAGCCTAGTAGAGCAGGGATGAAACGTGTGCATGAACAAATAATGGAAGAAAACACTGGAAAATTATGCCAGGACAGATGATGAGGAGCTGTGTGGGCCAGGTTAAGAAGCTTGGACTTTATTTTGAAGAGGATGCAAGTCACTAAAGGTGTTAAGCCGGGTAAGTGGCTTTTCAAATGTGTTTAGA